GTGCTGAGGCATCCGCACTCCCCGGGCCAGAGGTTCTCAAACTCAGAATTCCTTTATGCACTTCTGTTTGTTTTAGTCTTGACAGGTAGAGTCGTAGTGAGAGAGAGAGAGAGACAGAGAGAAAGGTCTTCCTTCCATTGGTTCACTCCCCAAATGGCTGCTACGGCTGGTGCTGCGCCAATCCGAAGCCAGGAGCCAGGTGCTTCCTCCTGGTCTCCCATGCGGGTGCAGGGCCCAAGGACCTGGGCCATCCTCCACTGCACTCTCGGGCCACAGCAGAGGGCTGGCCTGGAAGAGGAGCAGCCAGGACTAGAACCCGGTGCCCATATGGGATGCTGGCGCTGCAAGCGGAGGATTAACCAAGTGAGCCACGGTGCCGGCCTCCTTTATGCTCTTAAAAACACAGAGGTTGGGGACCGCTCTCCATGACACCAGCATCCTGCATGGACACTGGTTGGAGTCCCTGACACAGGTGGAAACCACCACACGAGTGAGTGGTGGCTACACAATCTTGTGCATGTGCTGACACCACTGATTGTACCCTTTAGAAGTCGAACTGCATGAGGTGTGAGTTATAACTCATGGAGTGTTAAGAAACACCCTTGAGGCCGGCGCCGCGGCTCACTAGGCTAATCCTCCGCCTTGCAGCGCCGTCACACCGGGTTCTAGTCCTGGTTGGGGCACTGGATTCTGTCCCGGTTGCCCCTCTTCCAGGCCAGCTCTCTGCTGTGGCCAGGGAGTGCAGTGGAGGATGGCCCAAGTGCTTGGGCCCTGTACCCCATGGGAGACCAGGATAAGTACCTGGCTCCTGGCTTTGGATCAGCGCGGCGGCCATTGGAGGGTGAACCAACGGCAAAGGAAGACATTTCTCTCTGTCTCTCTCTCTCACTGTCCACTCTGCCTGTCCATAAAAATAAGTAAAAAACAAACCACACCCTTGAAGGGTGCGGCAGATTAAGCTGCCAGTTGCAACACTTGCATCCCCTACTTGAGCGCTGGTTTGAATCCCGGCTGATCCACTTCTGATCCTGCTTCCTGCTAACAACCTGGGGAGGCCGCAGAAGATGGTCCGAGTGCTTGGGCCTGGGCCACCCACATGGGAGACCCGAATGGAGTTTCTGGCTCTGGCTTTAGCCTGGTCCAGCCTTGGCTGTTGTGGGCATTTGGAGAGTGAACCAGCGGATGAAGAACTGTCTTAATTTTTTTAAGATTTATTTTATTTATTTGAAAGGCAGAGTAACAGAGAGAAAGGGAGAGACAGAGAGATCTCCATCCACTGGTTCACGCCCCAAATGGCCACAATAGCCAGGGCTGGGCCGGGCCTAAGCCAGGAGCCAGGAGCCAGGAGCCTGGAACTCCAGCAGGGAATGGGTAGCGGGGGCCCACGTGCTCAGATCATCATCCAGTGCCTTCCCAGGTGCATCATCAGGGAGCTGGACTGGAAACTGTCACCCTGAAATGGGAATACTGGCATCGCAGGCCGTGGCTCAATGCACGGCGCCACCTACTACTTCCTTCAATGGTTTTTAAATAAAATTAAATAAACATTAAAAATATTCTTGAGTACTCCAAGATATATGGGCTATGTTTATGGATAGTTAACATACTAGAAATTAAAATGGGAAATGGGGCTGGCACTGTGGCATAGTGGATAAATCTGCTGCCTGCAGTGCTGGCATCCCATAAGGGCGTTGGTTTGTGTCCCATTGCCTCACTTCCAATCCAGCTCTCTGCTATGGCCTGGGAAAGCAGCAGAAGATGGCCCAAGTCCTTGGGCCCCTGTACCCATGTGGGAGACCCAGAAGAAGCTCCTGGCTCCTGGCTTCAGCCTGGCCCAGCCCTGGCTGTTGTAGCCATTTGGGAAGTGAACCAGCAGATGGAGGCTCACTCTCCCTCTCTGTCTATAACTCTGACTTTCAAATAAATAAATAAATCTTTTTAAAAAGGAAGTTAAAACTGGGAACTTTTTTTAAAAATTAGGCACATAATTTAAATATTTTATGAAAAACTATTTTCAAAACAAAAATGTTAGTGAGATGAAAGGCACTGTTTGTAGTTTGACCAATCTGTTTAATGCTGGGCTTAGCAAAGACACCTGGACATCCACCCTGACTTTTCATCACAGCTTTCACGATGCATTACTCTGTTAGAGTCCACGGGGAACCCGCGCCCTCACAGGTGTGCATGACAGGTGGAAGAGGGACGAGTGTGTGACAGCCCCTCCAGACGAGGCGGGTATCCTTCCTGGACACCGCACAACACTCAACTAGACGGCAGTTTCTTAATGAGCAGTTCCAATATGGCATCTGGAACCCCATGAGCAAGCTTTTCATTTTCTGGACATTTGCAAGACAATGACGCCAAGGGTCTTAATTCTATAATAACTGGTGGGGCCAGTTTTGTGGCAAAGCAGGAAAAGCCGCTGCCTGCAACTCCAGCATCCCACGTGGGCACAAGTTCAAGTCCCAGCCGCTCCATTCTGATCCAGCTCCCTGCTAATGGCCTGGGAAAGCAGTGGAAGATGGCTCCGGTGCTTGGGTCTCTGACCCATGGGGGAGACCCAGATGAAGCTCCTGGATTCAGCCTGGCCCAGCACTGGCCGTTGGGGCCATCTGGGGTGTGAATGAGCAGATGGAAGATCTCTCTCTGTCTTTCTCTCTCTCTTTCTTTAACTCTGACTTTCAAAATAAATCTTTTTCTAAAATTTTATTTATTTATTTGAAAGGCAGAGTTACACAAAGAAAGAAAGGCAGAGAGACAGAGAGAGACACAGAGAGAGAGAGAGAGAGAGAAGTCTTCCATCCACTGGTTCATTCTCCAATTGGCCTCAATGTCCAGAGCTGAGCCAATCCCAAGGCCAGGAGCCAGGAGCTTCTTCCAGATCTCCCACATGGGTGCAGGGGCCCAAGGACTTGGGTCATCTCTGCTGCTTTCTCAGGCCATAGCAGAGAGCTGGATCGAAAGTGGAGCACACGGGACTTGTACCAGCACCTATATGGGATGCTGGCATTGCAGGCGGTGGCTTAACCCACTACATCATAGCACTAGCTCCAAAATAAATAAATCTTTAAAAAAATTAGTTGTGGCTTCATGGACCCCCTTAGAGATCCCTGGACCACACCATTTCTGTGATGACCAGCAGGGGGCAGTGTGCAGACTGCCACTCACTGACCACACAGAGACCAACCCCACCACTTTCACCATGCCTGTCCCTCTATCTCTTCCGCACACCCAAGCACCTGCTCTTCCGGGTGGGACCTGACACTCCACTGTGGGCCAAAGAGACCTGGATAACCTTAGGGCCCAAAGAGCCAGGCACGGAGACCGCCATGGCCAGGCCCAGTGCCTAGGGGTGCGGGGGCTCCTCAGACCCCATCTCTTGACTTTCTCCCCAGTGATGCTAAGGTACAGCCCTGGAAAATACAGATGGGGTCAGAAGTGACACGGTCACTGGCAACATTATACCAGTGCCTGCCTTCCTGCCTTGAGTGCACCATGGTTTTGCTTTGCTGAATTTCTGTTATCTTGTGAGTGGCACAGTCACACCATCCCGTGTGGGTGTGAAAAACATTACTCTGCTCAAAGTAAACATTGAGAATGTACAACCCAGCAGCCTGTCTGTCCTTTCCAAGCTGCAAGAAACACAAGGGATGATGTCTCCAGGATGTGCAGGGGCTGCGCCCTGGGCAGATCACAGAGGCATCCAGAGGCTACTCCCGCCCCGGCCTGCAGGGGGCACCATTGCTTCCACAAGCCCTGAGCCTGCCTGCCCAACCTGCAGTGCTCGGCCAGGTGTCCCAGGGGTGCCTCAGGGAGGACCCACCTGCTGCACAGGCTACTGTACCAGGTGTGGAGCTCCACACGGCTCCAACCTCCAGCTCCTTGGCAGTGGAGACAGGTGGGGAGCACCCAGGAGGAGGAGCAGAAACTGGCTCGGAGATATCCTTCAGGGCTCCAAACCAATGCCCCCAGATGAATCTCCAGGGAATGAACCCTTTTGTCCCCTCTAGGTTACTTCCTGGTGGGCCCGGAGCTCTGGGATAAATGAATGACATCCCCCTACCCCCAACAGACATTCAAGGGTCCTTTAAAAGGACGCAGCCTCCTTTAAAACATTGGTAAAAACCTCTGCCAAAACAGCTTGTCAGCCTGCAGCCACCACAGCCTGCTCTACTCTGTTC